ACAGCTGCTGCTCATCCAAAAGGAGCTTGCAGAACTGAAAGCTGTTCCACCCTTATATGCCCAGTGTCTCGTGTCATCATCTACTTGTACATTCCACTACTTCTACCACCTCCCTGAACTCACCTAACAATTACCTTTTCACTCTGACTTTGCAAGCTCTCAGCTGCCCCTCGATTTCATGCCATCTCTCACCCATCACACTGATGCCTGCTTTCCCCTTACCTGCCTGTTGGCGGGGTTCTCGAAGCTGAGAGTCACTCAAATGAACGACATCTCTTGCTTTTACCTCTTCTGCCATGGCGTGGAGTGTTTTACATTTCATACTGTGGTGTAAAACCTTGCTACATTTTCTCTGTATCTTGCTGAGGGACTCCAGCTCTCCACAATGGTTTGCTTCAAGGAATCGGGGCTCATTGTCACGCAAACAGTTATCAGAGGATCTTTTCTTCTTTCTCTTCTTCCTGCTGGCTTGCTCCTCTTCACTGGATGAGCACTTGACTTTTTGCCCTTCATGTCTTAATTTACTGCTGGATCTCTTGAATGTTGTCTTAAGCCTTTGCTTGGGATGCTTTGTCAAGTCAAAGCACTCGGAGTTTGTACAAAAACTGCGTTTGCTGCAATCACCATTTTGGACACAAATCAGCAATTCTCTTGCTCTTTCCTGGCTGAGAGGCCAGGCCTTGCAGCCACTTCTGCAGCCCCCATTCCTTCTCTCCATTTTGCTTTGTGACTCATCAAAAGCCTCACTAAAATATTCAGAATCACTACTGATCTCTTCCAGTAAATCCTTCAATTTATAAATATGGCCAAATGGCTTCATAGGTGGTAAAACTTTCATTCCCGTATTCTCTTCTTCGGATCTGTTATCACAATTAGTACTGGTGCTTACTAGAAAAGGACTATTCAGTTCATCACATGGTAGTCTATGACTGACTTCACCCAGTGAATCCCTGCACCACACCAGACATTGATTGGTGAACTCTCTAGAACGGGCCTGACTTTTGGGCACAACCTCTCTCGGCTCAGGTTCCTCATCTGCTATTTCCCACACGTAACTATCAGTGTCTCGAAAGTCTCTCTCACGGAGGTCTGGTACAAAACTCACTTCTGTAAGACACTGCCCATCTTTGTTTTTCAGGCTGACCTGGAAGTCATTCCCATTATGGGACACCACCCTCTGCCACCAGGACTCAGTCCCTGTGTTGTGTGTCACCGGACAAATTCGTGCATATCTTGGGGTTTGGTAGTAGTTTAGTAAATAGTGTATGAATTCCTCTGTTTCATAAACCTTTTGCTTCTTGCAGTTTCCTGCACTAGAGACTCTGGAGGAGCACCCCAAGTCCAGGCTTTGACAGTCCTCCCGGGCAGGAGATTTTTTGACTTTGCAGTCTTGAGTGACTGTAACTTGCAACAAGCCACAGTCCTGATAGCAGTCTGTAGCCTTTTCCGTTAAGCGTCTACTAACTGGTCTTGCAGCTGGCTCATTCAGAACAGTCCTCACAAGGTGACAAGGTGATCCAGGCAAGCCAACTGGAACATATTGTTCCTCCTCCTCCTCCTCAATATAGGCATTATCTAATCGGGCTAACTGATGAGGGGGCTCTCTCTCATCCTTTACTTCTTTGCACCCAAGACTACCAGAGCTGGACTTCTCTTTTAGCACATTTTGTATCTCAGGTGAAGGAAAGCAATCCTCCCTTTCATTTTCACTCTCCAACAGAGGCTCCCTTATTTGCCTGGATGATAGCACAAAATCCTTCAAAATAAAATTAGAGACACAGAATTACAACAAACTGAACAAGCAACACCAGCAGAAAGTAAACAACTGAGAGAAGCCTAACTATAAGCAACGTTTATAATGCTGATGCAGTTTTCCTGCTTGTGGGCTTCCTAGAGGTAGCTGGTTGGCCACTGCGTGAATACAATGCTGCTCACACAGAATGGGCCTTTTGTTTGATCCAGCATGGCTCTTCTTATGTTCTTAAGTTCCATGGAATTTGGGGTTAACCCCAAGATCTTCTGGTGCTAGAGGCAGAAAATCCTAATGACACCTCTGCCCAATTAACTGAGCAGTATCCATTTGGAAGAAAACATGGCCGAACAGGAGCTGTGTAAAAGTACAGCAGTGCTCATGCACAACTCCTGGTCCCTCCTTTCCTTCCTGTCTCTCCCAAAACAGCCTTGTTTAGGAAAGCTTCCCAGTGGGTTGTACCCCATGGGTCAATGTCTCCTGGTCCCAGTACACATACTCTGAGGCAAGAAACGGAACCTTCCTGAATGACAGATCAACCTTTGGGAGCTGCTTTCTCATCAGGTAGCCCAGTTTCTCTGTAAGGAAATGCATTTTTACTGCCAGTTCACTTTAAAGGAACAGTATTTAAAAAGCTAATGAAATCCCATCGAGTAACTGGGCCTGCCTCTCAAGAGCTGTGGTTCTGCAGCTTCTATCGCACATAAAAATTACACATTCCAACATCATGTTTCAATGACTACGGATTATTATCCTGACATCATGAATCCTAATGTGGGTTACTGAGTCCCCTATGGTAATGGGAACTCCAACAATCAAAAGAAAAAATTCTACCAGAGTTTCTATGATCACTTATTACAGGATATGAGAGAGAGAGAGATTAATCAAAAGCCCTTGATCTTGCCAAGGGCTCACTAGCAACACTCTATTTACCTCCTGAACATGTGATCCCACCCCAAACTCACAGCAGGCACAGACCGGCCCATCAAAATGAGGTGCCTTGGACATGGATAAAGTCTCTTCTTATATGTGCCTATATAATTGTCCATGACAAAGACGTTTAGAATTTAGAATATTTTTAAAAATATTCTTACTTTTATTTGGTTTAACAGCACTGTAAGCAGCCTGATTGACTCCACTCTTCTCTGAGCTAGGAGGTATTTCCTCTCTTCCCATTCAGGCATATTCTCTGGCCACAGCTCTTCTTCAGCTGTTACCTTCTGTTGCTTTCTTGGGCGTTTTTCATCCCGATCTATCTGTCTTTTCTCTCGTCTCTTGATCTTAGACTTCCTCTTTCCTTCTCCAACCTTTTTTTCATCACCACCATCATCACGTCTTTTTCTAGGCAATTATTAATATGGGACAATTTAGATGAAAAATCATTTCAGATATTTTTAACCCTTGGAGGGCAGGAGGGATGATTCTCTTTAAAGGTACCAATATAAAGTACTTTCACTCTCAGAATCTATTTGCGGTTACAAGCAATAGGCTAGCAGTTCTTAGAAATGTCTGTTTTAAGTCAAAATGTATCACATATCTCCAGGGCAATGGAAAATATTTTATGATATCCTGAGTTTCTCACTTGAAATGTCTCATATTCCAAAAACTTCCATAATATTAGATCTAAAGTCATGCACTGCAGCACCAACTAACTCATAATTACATGTATGTTAAGTCTCAGTACCATTAATAGGACTTGAACACATCTGTCAGTAGACTGCAGTGAGTACAGAATTTGACTCTTCTTTTCCCAGACGAGCTACTGACTCAGTTTGTTTCACTTTGGTTTCACAGTTATGCTGGTGTCCAAACCACCATCTGACACTCAGATCTCCACATTTTAGTTTTGACTCAGAGAATGGTCTACAGTTCTAGGCAGGTTTGGCCCCATAAACTGCCTGGAAGGGGAATCTTCTGGTAACCATATTTAAGCAGCTCTCGGCTCTGAAGAAGATCAAGGAATAAATGTGATAATTTCCTATTAAATAGGCTGGTAATACAGAAACCAAGGAGCTGAGGTATACTAGTATGCTGTGAGAGAACTGCTAGTGGGCTGTAATTAATTCGAAGTACCCACCCAGAGAAGGCATCCCTGCTTTATCTCTGTATGATTTAGTGTTCTGGCAGCCTCTGCTAGGAGCAGGTAATTCTCTGCATTGGGGACAATGTAATCATTCTGACACTGAGCCCACAAAGCAGGCTGTCAGATGCATTTGTGCACAAGCCACTGCTCTGAGATAGTTGCCTTCCAATCAGCGATTAGTGCAGAAACTTCACCAAGTGGCATCATCTAAAATTAGGCAATTACTACTCGCACACACTCTAAAAGTTAAATCTTCTGGAGTATATGAGTATTAATTGGGAAGGAGCACGCCTCAGCTGTAAAAAGTCTAGAAACACTGCAACAGGGGTTTTGCCCATAGTAAGGTTTCTATGGAAACAGAACAATCCTGAAGAATATAAACTGTGTTCCTATTTATTTTCTAGGAGGTAATTAGAGTATGCAACACCACTTTAAGTAGGTGCTTGGAAATCCCAGGGCTACAGGGTTCTGCATTTTATGATTTCTAAAAGGGTGGGGAAAGAAAATCCCGCAGGCCCAAATAGGTTGGAAGACTTTTTTTAAAAAATCCAGAGTTACAATGTCTGTCTTTAGCATAATAATGTTTGTTCCAAATATAACAGAGTAGGTGGAGCCCAGACCTCCCTACAGAACTAGAACACTGGCTCAGGTGTACTTGGTGCTCAGGTGTACTCTGGCACTGAAGAAGCTCTCTTGGGAACTAAAGAAGGTTGAAAAAACAATTAGGGACACGCATTTACATTTGGACTCAGAAACCAACACTGGAACCCAAACTACAACATATACTTTCTCAGAAATTAATTTTGCTTTAAGGCAGATGTAATACTGCCTCAGCGAATTGCAGCAGTGAAAAACAAAGTGAATTGTGAACAAGAGATCCTAAGCCACTACACCCTTGCCATTCAACCTCAGCTTATTTCCGTATTTACAACTGATTGCCTTCTCAGTTAGAGCTTAGGGATAAAATATATACTGCCCTTTCACCACAGGCAACCTCTTGTTGGTTAATGATTAAGCAAAGGCCATTGACAAATTTTAGCACTGTTGTATTATTCAGTAAATTACACAGACAACAGTTAAAATGTTAACAAAGACCTCATTATATTATTGTTTAGGTCAGAGTCAGGATGGAATTAAGGCAGAATTTGAAGCCATGCTGTCTTTTTAGAGTACAGGCTATCTCACAAAAAATGTTTTGACTGGCTAGATAAGTAAGAAGCAGCCAAAAGGCAACCATACAGCCAAACCAAACAAAATTTGATTCTGGGCGCAGGAATCAAATTCTTGACAGCTTCCATTTTTAAAACAGCAGTAGTAGATTTCCTTACGGCTGCAAAAGTATGCTCCCTGTAGGTAAATTTGCAAGAATCTCAGAAGCCAGCAAGCTGGCTAAACGAGAGTTCAAGTAGTTGGAGGCAAGGCTGAAATGCCCTGCAGAGTTTACAGCCACCCCCAATGACTTGCAGATGGAATGCAAAGTGGCAAAAACAGTGAAATTATGCAAATTTATTCAATTCATCTTGCCTTGGTACAGCATTTGAAAATAATTTTATTTTTTTTCATTTTTCTACATGGAGCTCATGCATCCTTGGGCAATTTTTTCTTCTTTCAGTAAACTTTTAAGAAGTCAAGTTCCTCACCTTTCAGTACCTCTTTTCCCTCTGTTTTCCTCCCTCTTCCTCTCTCGCTCTAGCCCTTGCAGGGTTAATCGTTCCAGGTTCCTCTGGTTTATAGCACTCTCACTGAAATGATTGGTAGTATCAGCCGATACCTGTTTAAAAATAAAGAGAACAAAAATGTAGTATTGGTCACTCCCTCAGATAAAGTTCACAGAGTCTACAGATCCAGCCTCAAACTTGTAAACAGAAGTCCTTCTGTCCTTCAAACCATTCTGGCTCAGGTATATCCAGTACAGACCTTTCCAAGAAGCCCAGTGTAGACAGTAGGCCTGACTGCCGGCAGATTCATTCTCTTCTTCCACACAATTCTATTGAAACACTAAAATCCAGCTGCTTTCAATAAAGTCAATTTTATTTGTCCCACTGAGAAACAAATGCCAGTGACTATGAAACAGCAATGATATATGCATGGATCCAAATGGCGGCATGCTCCAACCCAAGAATCTCCACCCATGTCACCTTCAGCTGATCCATATACCAAACTGCAAATCACTTTTTACTGGGAGGAGGAAGGAACAATTTTAAAAGGCAATTGAAAGGTTTCACTGCAAGACTTGTTGAAAAGAATACAGATGGCCAATGTCTTAAAAATTGTTATTTACCCTTTCATTCTAAATGTGGCTCTTTAGGGTGTTTGTCTCCATTAGCTTGGATGTCTCTTATACATCCGGAACTATATTTAGCTGAATGTCTCTTATACATCCAGAACTATATTTAGTTAACTTTTATGTACTATTACAATTCAGAAAGGCAAAAACCATCAAAATTAGTTTTCCAGGTTAGTCATTTGATATGACTGAAACCCCCTTATTAAGACTGTTCAGGAAACTAAACATACATTGAAAAAATAAAATCCAAGTTATTCAAGTAGCATTCATATGAATAACGTCACTGCCTTAAGCACCTTTGTGGAGTCTGCACTTTACAAACTCTTTAAAAACCCTTTATTTTATAAACATTTATAATGTAATTTCCCAGCTATCTTAGATTATAAATTCCCTGGGGCAGGGGACCTGTCTATGTTGCTCTATGTAACTGTAGAGCACCATGTATAATATCACAGCATAAAAATAAATAATTTTACAGAAAAAAACACAAAGGCAAATTATTCACATAATTAAATATCAGATAATTAAATATCAGATAATTAATATCAGAAAGCATACCAATTGGATGTGCTAAGTAAAGGTATATTTTAAGAAATGGCATAATGCAAGAATAATTTCTGATAACCAATCAAACTTTCAATATGCAGGAGCAGACACTCCATGCAAGGAAGACCAAACTGAGTAAATCCTAATAAGAGTGTGAAAGCAACAAAGATTTTCATGCCAGACTGAGGTACGAGGTTTCATGGAATAAGAACCACTTCAGCACCCACTTGCATCTGATAACATGTACTCTAATCCATGAAACCTTATGCTACAATAAATCTGTTACCCTTTAAGGTGGTAAGAGACAATATTGTTTTGTTGCAACAGGCCAGCATGACTACCATACTGGAACCTGCATGATGCTTCTTACCTTAATATTACATGCCAGAGCTTTTCCATCATCCCCTTTAAACATCAGCTTCATTCCCTTAAGTGTCTCCATAGCTTTTGCAAAAGCTGTGGACTCCTGGTACTGGACATAAGCTTCAAATGTTCGCAGGCCACGAAAAATGAAATTATTCATGTTTCCTCCCACCATTTCTTGCCTATAAGGATCAAGCATGGGAATATCTACGTTCTTGATCTTTCCAAAACTTTCAAACACTGCTCTCAAGATATCTTCGCTTGGTGTTTCACTACCTGAGCCTCTTAGGGCAAACCATTTGCACGGCAATCCTTCCAAATGGATGCAATTGAGCACATCACTGCTTTGCTCAGCAAGATCTTCCTCCATCATTTCTCTATCAGTCAGAATGGCTTCCGACTCCTGAGGAGTTGGTAAATCAGGAGATGCCTCTGTAGCAACCACTTGCAAGTCATCTTTAAAACCATTCAGTTTTATCATCTTGCCATGGAGCTTTTCCTTAAGGCTACATACCAAATGCTTGGTTTCTGCCTCTCCCTCAAACCGAATGAAACCTTTTGTTCTTTTTGAAACCTTAACACTGGTGAACTGGTCTGGACAAATCATATTCTTCAGCTTGTCCATCACTTCCCATTTAGAGAATGCCCGGGTAGATCCGGTGTGTTCTGGAAGCACCACACTGATTGTTAATTTTGCTATTGGCTTAAGATAGAGTTGCTGAGAGGCACAGAGCTCCATAGCTTCCGAAGGATCACATACTAGAGTGACAGTCATGGCGTCCAATGCCCTTTAGAAAAACAATTAAAAGGTAGTTATGCTAAAGAGCAAATAAAGCAAGTTCCTTATATCCTACATGGTTACAAGGAATAGCTGCTTGCCCCCAACAAACATGGTGTTCAGTTCTAAGGTGACAATAAGCACAGCTGCCATTTATGCCATCTATCTTTCAGGCTGGAGAAAAGTCCATTCCAGAATTTCTCAAGACTTCTAACAGGTGAGGTACAGGTCTTTCCAAATTAAGACCAGAGGCACTGTTTTCACTTCTCCAGCCAGAGCCCATGTTTACTTGGATATGATTTTCTCCTATTTCAATGGGATTTACTGCCATGTAAAAGCACATAAGATTTGAACCATTTAAAATTGCCTTAAAATAAGGTTCTAAACAGTACATCTATCTTTAAAATGACTGTCACCTAAAATGAGGTCTGGAAAAAAAATTCTTATACGCTATCTTAACACCCAAAGAATCTCTCACTAAATAACCAAAGAGGGCCTGAAATTAAATCCAAACTCACAGCAAGCAGTGTCTAGAAATAATATAAGCAAAAATGCATTTTCAGTGAAAAATACAACACGGGCAGATAAATCACTATGCATGCTGTGGAGCACCACCCGACAACTGCTTTAAAAGCCTCTGAACAATAGCAGAATAAAATAATACATACTTAAACTCCAGTAGCTATGAGAGCAATTTAATTAATGTATCTGAACATTCCTTTAGGATACCCTAAAAACAGCCTGCATAAAAATCCATGCCAAAAGTTGAGCCTTCTGCGACTGGATATATCAAGATAGCGATTTCAAATATTTCAGAAAAAATTAAAAGCACAAATCAAACATCTTTACTTTTGAAAAGCATGGTTCCTTAGGATAAACAGAACTGCATAACCACAATGTCTTCCCAATAACAGAAATCTAAAAGCTTATTGTTCATTAACATGGCATAGAAGTGGTTATATAATTCAGCCACAACTAAGTAAAGTTACAAGCCACTCACTTGTATTTCTTGCTCAATTCATTTCACAGATGAAGTGCAGAAAAATATGTCTATGCTTAACATAAACCTGTAATTTACCACAACCATTCCTCAAAGTACATACAGTAATTATACATTTACACACCTTGGAATACAGCACACTTTCAAAGACAATCAAAGTGGGTTAAGGGTCTTGACATTTTCTGGCTCTTCAGAATCAGTCATGAATTCTGTTCCTCCATGCTTTAGTATGCTTCCCTCCTCCCTGGTCTTCCAATTTCATCTTCAAGCTCTGTACTGGAATTTATGATATTCCAATTTGTATATTTCAATTTCTCCTCAAAACATGTTTCCCCACAGTATTTTTTGTGCACAAGGAAAAAGGTAACAAAATGCTCCTCTGCTTTGCCTTTTCTTTGTACTAACAGAGGAAGATGGATGGCAAGTTCTAGAAAGCTCCCTTCTGAGACCTTGTGGCCCAAATTGCAGAACTCAAGGGAGACTGAAGTAAATAATAAAATGAAGCCGCAGGCAAAGCTGTCACCTGTTTCCTTCCATTTCTTACAAAACAGCTTGATCCCAAATGTGCATCCACAAGAAGTGCGGCTGATGGAGAATTACTTTTATTTTGTTAGCTTCTGTCTTGATAAACAACCAAACACAAGGAATACTCTCTAGTTCAAAAAAGAGCATTGCATCTTAAAAAACTAAAAGCCTACAGAAAAGAACCACATTTGAGCACATCTACAGAAGATCTTAAATTCTGAGTAAGCTGCCAAGTATCTAGCAATGAAGAACATTCAGCTATAGCACTAAGCAGAGCTCATCATTGCATCCTCATAGGCAAATTTAGCTTGATAAGCCTCAGCATTTGGACTAAAAGTAAAGTTTTGAGGAAGCCTAAAAGTGGCACAAGCTGCTCTTTACAGAGTGGAAAGGGACCACAAGGGGGCAGGGAACAATGGCGGCTGGTAAAAGCTACAGATCAGGCTTACCACAGTACTTTAGCTGTGATGTAGTGGTTGGCATATTAGACAAGGTCACCAGGATCTAAGAGACATGGGTTCAGTTACCTTTACAGTCATGAAGCTCAATGAATGACCTTGACCCAGTCACTCCCTTTCCATCTAACCTACCTCGCAGGAATGTTGTAAGGAGAAAATGAGGGAGAGAAGAACCCTGAGTTCCTGGGGAGAAGGGTGAAATAAAAAAATGTAATTGACCAAGACAGGTGCAATCCCATTCACAGGGTAATATGACATAACTGCCCCACTCACTTTTGGCTTAGCATGATGCAACTGATGCAGCCGTTCTTGCCAAAAGTTGATAGGGAAACTGCATCATGATGTTACCACTGAAGGGTGTAACTAACATTCAACCTTTTCTTGACAAATACATACAGCCATTTTGCCACCCATTTCAATCCCCTTTACTCAAGACGTTTGTGAAAGTCCAGGCCTACACACCCTTCAGAAATGCTGCCAACACCTCCTTGTTTCAGTTGTCTTTTAACAGCTGAGGTTAAGCAAGTGCAGGGCAATTTTAATTTTGTGTACACATATAATTGGTATACTGTTTTTACATCACTTTTTTCTTAATCTTGGAAAGATGCACTGATAAAAGATCCTACTGCTTGTGTTTTCCACCATCCCATATTCAGGCCCTTCTCAAGATATCACTACATTATATCCATATTTTGCTGTTTTCCCAACAAGCTTTGGACATACAGAATTTTTATTACTTTACCGTCACAATATCAAAGAATTAGGTTATACTGACATAAGTACCGTAGATATACTTGGGATTTTAAGGAGCAGCAGCAGTGGTCAACACTGTGCCAGAAGCTGAGGACCCAAGGTCACTTCATGGATACACAGAGATCTGACTAAGTTTCCCTGCAAAGCCCAACATTTTGTGTCCATTGCACCCTACTGGCTTGCCTAGAATTTAAATCAATGCTCAGACAGTAAAACCACATGATAATTCCTTCTGTCTAAGCCCCACATTTCTTCCTAGTATCAATTCCTCTTTCTCCTGTTCAACCCATAAACAGTCACCCCTCCTCTTTATCCACCTATATGCCTAAGACCATACCATAAGCATGCCCCCTCTGTGATGAGACTGTACTGCCCTCCACTCATCACCACACAACTCCCATCCCTGCCATGTAATAGTCTCCGTAAGGTCTCTTTTTTCTCCCCTCTCCCTTCCCCAAGCGCCCTCATGCCTTCACCAACACAGGCAGGCTTCTGGCAGCTTCCCACAATCCCCATGAAGCTGCCATATTGAATCTGACTGTTGGGCCATCCAGCTCAGTACCCCATGCTCTAGCTTGTCATGGGTTTTCATGGGCTCAGGCAAAAATAGTGTATTCCCAGCCCTGCTATCTGAAACCTTGTAACTAGCTATAGCAGAACTGAATAGAACTAGATCACCGATCCTGCCCCACAGAAAGCCCCAGATGCTTCCTACACCTTATCTGCTCTTCCATCCGACTCAAGAGTTACCTGGCCCCACGCAGAGGCCTCTGACCAACTCAGCCTTTCCATAGCACTCTGCTTCCCAGCCCCTAGAGCCCTCTACATTACTGTACACGTTACTGACTCTTCAACAAGCCCCTTGAATCTGACTCCCTGAAGTTAAATTCTGTGAGTCTTGAAGGTACCACTGGACTCCTGGTGTATTTTCCTCCCTGCCTCCAAGATGCCATACAGGCACCTCTGACCCACACACAACTCCTCCAACCCCCACAGAGGGACACTTCGCACACAGCCTTTCTCACACCCCACAGCAACGTCACACTCCGTGCTTTCCCCTTCTCTCCCTCCCCCCCCCCCAGCGAGAAAGAGCATTGTTATCCCACACAAACAGCCCCATCACTACCACCACCACACATACAGGCCTCTGGTTCCCTCAGCTCAATCCACATAGCTCTGACCACCTCCCAGTCATGCCTTTTCTGCATGCCCCTTCCGCCTCACCCCACAAAGCAGCCGCTGCTTCCACACAGAGCCTCCCTCACGCACCCGACATACTT